ATCGCAATTCTTAATAATAGTTTCTTTCTAGTAATTTTCTATCTACGTGTTTTAGTCGCTGGTTTTGAACAAACTGTGATCAGAAACACACAAGTCGAAAATAGAACAAACTGTCGCTAATAGATTGATAGATGAACTATCTGTGATAGACAATCGTGTTCAACTTCCAGAACAGGATTGCGAGTATTTTGTCAAGAAAACTCAAATCAAATCGCATGATCCTTGGTAGAACGCACATCGAACGTCCCTGTGCCACGACGCGGTCGCATCTTCTTGCCCGCAAACTTCCGAAGATCATTACGAAAGCCGCGAGGAGGGCTTCGCGAGCCTCGTAAACTCGCCTCGTAAAAATCGCCAAAATACACGCACCCCCTTACATGGTAGCGTCGCGTAGGCGGGTGTCATATCCCTGTAAAATCATGGGCCACTAAAAATCTGACGTTTCCGCGGCAAATTTACAACGGTCATATCCACGCGTGTGTGAATCCGCGCGTCACGCGGCGTTCAGTATTTTTTTCCAAAAAACGTTCACGAGGAGCAACTCGAACCTCTTGGTCAACCACCCTTTGCTCACCTTTCTCTCTCGTCTCACGAGTTTCAATACGCGCACATCGTACCTTTCCCTCCCTCTCCCGCCCCTTATTTGCATTCCGGTCGCGTCGATGAACGCCTTGTAACGATCCGTTAAACTATTTTCCGCAGGGACGCGTTGCTTACTTTGTTACCTTTCGTTTGACTGTCTACGTGGCTGGAAGCTTGATCGTTGAGACATGAAGGAATCGCGGGATTAATTTTTCGGTTCGGACGTGAATATCCTTTCGTCCGCGAGTTAATAACGCGAACGATCGAACGCGATGCAATTTGATGAAAGTTACTCCGAACTTGTGCAGTTTAAAATTTTCATCGTCTATATACATCGAGGACGGAAGGTCATTTCTCTGGATGTTTTTCGTAGTGAGAACGAGTGAGAACATCGGGAAATGAATCTGAAATGAACGATTTGGTTTTGGTTATTTCGATTTTCAATTCTTTCCCGATAGCTCGTGAATTGTATTTTGAATTGTCTATTGAATCTCGAAGTTAGCTGATCAGAAATTCTATCCTCAAAAGGCTATTGGATACGTAGTTGCATCGTAGGTGAATCAAAAAGTTAATCAAGCGTGAAAAGAAAAATGTTTTCGCATATAATTCTGCACGTTACTTCTTTCTGTAGTGAGAATGATTGAAAATCTAGTACCAAATTGGTTTTATTATCATTTTAACTTTTCGATAATTTGCGAATTATATTTTGGATTTTCTATTGGACCTCGAAATTGATCGATCGATTGTCAAAATTAGCAGAAATTCTTAAAGGAATATTGTTATTGAATCAGAGAAACCTGAATGAAGAAGTTACAGATGTGAGAAAAAGATGTTTTCGCGTATAATTCTGCACGTTACTTCTTTCTGTAGTGAGAATGATTGAAAATCTAGTACCAAATTGGTTTTATTATCATTTTAACTTTTCGATAATTTGCGAATTATATTTTGAATTTTCTATTGGACCTCGAAATTGATTAATTGATAGTTTCCGCACATAATTTTCTAGGTCCTTTTACAGAGGAAATGATTGAGAATCTGAAACCAGGTCGGTTTCGTTACTTTAACTTTTGGACAATACGTGAATTATATGTTACTTTGAATTTTCTATCGAACCTCGAAATTAGGAAAATTCTATTCTCAAAGGAGATACCAGATACGTGGTTACATCGAGATATCCGAAGCAAGCAGTTGACAAACATGAAAAATGATGTTTTCGACCATAAATTTTCGAACGATCACGGTGACATTGAAGTCGAACTCTAGGAAAGAACATTTGTACATCCGTTTGCTGAAAAATCGACGCGGTAAGAGCTCGGAACTAGGTTTTGCTACTTGTTTGCTCTCTCTTTCTCTCTCTCTCTCTCTCTCTCTCTCT